TGTAAGTTGAGGGGAAATTGTCAAAGCTTATTTTCTTCTAATAGCTGTTTGCAGTATGTGTATCTGTGTACCTACACTGTAGGTACCATAGGTCTGCCTGTTGACTAACTCGAAAGAATCCCCAGGCTGCCTAGCTTCTGGGCCCCCATCCCTTCTGGCTCCAGCGCTCACCCCTCAGATCTTCAACCACTATCCTGTCCTCCAGCTCTGAAATCTGGGAGGCCATTCCCAACAGCAACTGATTCACTTCCTGGGCACTGTCCAGGTTGGGGTTCTGGAAATAAACAACACACTCAGTCAAAGTAGGCTTTCAGGTCCCTTCCCAAAGCCCAGTCCCTCTCACCTTGGACCACTGCAGTACCTCAGGACAAAGATTTCTTGGCCAATCCTAGACTCTCTTGAGCTGTTGTCCCCAGATAATTTTCTGATCACTCTACCCTTCATCTCCTACCACCCATGGAGCAGCAACACTCAATAACTGGAATTGTTGCTTTACCCAGCTTGTGTAATGAGACTGACCTTGAACCACCTTCCCTTGACGCTGACCCCAGGCTGACCTCACGAATCCAGTAGCTGTTGCAGACTCTTAGAGCTGGGGAGCTGACAAAACCCCTATCCATGGTCTTCTGGAAGTGACAGCTGGCATTTCTGAAATGGGGACCAAGGATGTGGAAGAAGCTGAGACAGGGTTGACAGGGTTGAGTGAGGTGAGAGACTCTGAGGGGGTTGGCCAGGTCTGAGATGGCCCCTGAAATTCCTTGAACAAATCTGTTAGTATATGTGGACTGAAGGTAGAGGTTGCTCTTTGTCCACACAGGGTGGGAAGGGAAGGAGGGGAGAGGGTTACCCAGCTGCTGGACAAATCCTGCTCTCTGCAACTGAAGTTCAATCATTAGGAGGAACTGGGGAGATATCTCTGTTAAGACTGAGCCTCCTATCCTGGGGCCCTGTTTCAGGACCTCAAATTTTGCTTCCCCCATAACACTGTGGGGGTGTATAAAAGGCTCCAGGACCCTCTAAATTGACGCCTCTGCCATTGCTGTCTCTCTTATCCCATCACCAGCCCCTCTCTCACCTCATGTAGACGCCAGGGGGCACCATGGTGGAGAAGAACTGCTCAGAGGCTGCCAGGAACTCCGGAGAGATGCTGGGGTCCAGGAAAGGGCGGTACCCTGCCCCACAGGGGTAATAGGAGAAATAAGCTCCTTAACCCTCCATCCTCCCATAACGTGCACCCACCAGTGTACGTTAGCCCTATGGATCCTAACCACGAACTCCCCTCAATGCAGGTGCCCCCCCTTCCCCCTAACACCCTCACCTGTATATTCTGGGGGTGTTTTTTGCAGGAAGCTGGGCAGCCACTCATACAGAACAATGTTCTGAAGATCAAGAAAAGAGAAAGGGAAGGTGAATGCTCCAACTGTCAGGCCGGGAGGGATCTGAGCCCAAGGAAAGCTTAAGTGGCAAGTTGTGACTGGGCAGGGGCAGTCGTGGGAAAGGCAACTCAAATAGGAGAGGTGCTGAGGCCAGTCCTCCCCCAAAACAAGGAATTTCGGGGGGGGGGCAGCTAAACCTCTTGTGTAAAGGGCACTTCGCCTCCTTATCATTCCTAGACATGAGCTCTCTGGGGAGGAGTGGACTCCCGGGAAAGGGTGTTTCTGGGTGGCGGATGACCAAGGATGGAAGGCTCTGCGGGGCAGCAGAGTCTCCTGTGGACCAGGAGGAGTTGGGGGTGGGGAGGGCCTTGTCACCGACCTGGTAAGTGGCGATGACCCTCTTGCGTGCGTGCTGGAACAGCTCCTCGTCCCCCCAGCGCGGGTGCTCGCGGGCCAGCCTCCGCGCGCACAGGTTGTGGTAGCGGAACCACAGCAGGCCCAGCGCCTGCAGGAAGGGATCGCGGTTCCCTCGCTCCGCTCCGAAGGCTGCATCGGAAGTGGAGACGCAGGGGAGGGGGTGAGCGGCGGTGGGACCCAGGGGAGCGCCACCTCGCAGACCCCAGCCCGCCTCCGGCCAGCCCCGGCTGCTCAGAGCTTTCCGCCCCTCCTGCGCCCCAGTCGGCCCCGAAGCCTCACCGTACAGCCCCCGGGGCCCGCCTTGTCCCGTGGCGGGGTCGGGCGGGGTCCACATGAGCAGGGGGCTCTGCGCGTCCCGGGGGAAGGCGGGGTCGGACCCCGACGCCAGCTCTCCCCCGGAGAAGCTTCGCAGCGCGTCGCTCCAGGAGTGCGAGGAGCCATAGATGGCGCTGCCGTCCAGCCAGCCCGTCACCTCGTTGGTCTGCGGGGCAGGGCACAGGGGAGCAGGGGTCGGGTAGTCGAGGCGCGTAAGGGAGGGCCAGGGCCAGGGCCAGGGCCAGGCGGATGTCCGTGGGTCGAGGGTGGGACCTTCTCTCCACACGACCCTGCCAGCCCCGGAGCCCAGAGCTCCACCTGCCTGGGACGTAGCTCCTGCCCCGCAGTCTGCCTAGTCTCACCAGGTCTCGGGGGTTGCTGGGGCTCTGTCCGGTCTTGGGATCCCAGCGGCTCCTCTGGAAGGGCAGCACCACGTCCCCGCGCCGGTGGGGGTCGAACACAGGGTCTCCCGGTGGGATGCGGATGTTGAGGAACTCGGCGGGGCAGCCAGGTCTCTCTACACTCACCAGGTCCGAGAGCACGTGGTAGCCTGCGAGCGAGAGTTGCAAACGTGAGAATCACCACTTATCATGGCCAAGTTTCTCAAGAGCCGAAAAAACAGACGTTCGAGTGCAAGCTCCGCCACTAGTTCTGCTGCTTCTTTCTAATCTGCAAAGTTGTTGTCAGAACCAATATAATTAATTTAAGGGTTTCCCCCAAGACAGTTCCCATATCTTAATAAATCCTTCCACCTCTCCTACCCTTCTGGGGGAAAGAGTATAATCATATGAGGAGGAGAGCGGTGACAGGGGACTCAGCTTGTAAGAGCTGTAGTGGGGGTCCAGTAGTACTCTGGGTTTACAGTAAGGGATGAAGGAATTTATGGGAGCAAAGACCCCTGGATTGAAACCCCGATCCTTTTGAGACGAAAAATGTCTCGACGTGTTGCTTAGTGGGGGAAGCGGAGTGAGGAGGTGGCTGGGAGTCTCAGATCGGTCTCCTGTGGACTTGTAGAGGGGTTTCAGTGGGTTAACCCCGCTGTTTTCCCACGTTGCCCTCACCGAAGAAGACCCCCAGCACCGTGCGGTTGCGGTGGGATGCCATCCCGGATCTGCCCCTCGTGGCGGCATCGCTGAGTTTGCGCGGGTTGGGCAGCAGAGGCTCTCCCAGGGCTTGATACACGCCGTCCGCGTAATTGGCTGGTACTAGGCGTTGCAGTCGGTAACCTGCAGGAAGCAGGAAGGAGACGGGCTGTGTTAGAACGCTCGGTCCCCAACAAGGCCACGAACTCTGATCTACTCTTTCCTCACCAGTGACGAAACCCCTTTTCCCTAGTCTCGTGGCCCCAGGAATGCAAAGGAGTTCTCCGCGCTGGCAGCCAGGAGGATGGCGGTGCGCTCCCTCCTGTTCTCCCCGCCTGGACGCACCTGCAGAGCCGCGCTCGTGGTGCCTCAGGTTGTTGAACCAGCCGTCGTAGCGCTGCACTTCCCAGGGCAGTGAGAGTGCGTCCTGGCCACCTGTGGGTCAGAGAGCAGTCCTCTCAGTGCTAGCCTCCCCGCGACGCGCCCGGTACCTGATGACCTCAACCTGTGTCTCTCCGGCTCTCCGAGCGTCCCCAAACCGACCCAAGTGGCTATACAGGCGCGGCGTGGAGGCTGTTCTAGAAAGTTTTCCACCCCGCTGAGCCGCGTAGAGATCTGACTCGATCTTCCAGCCTCAGGGAGCCGCTTGACTGCAATTCTCCCTTCCCTCATCCCCAGGGGACACTGAGTGACATCCCGAAGGGCACCTTAAGCTTACCCGCAGGATCCAGGAATCCAGTCAGTAGAGCTCCCAGGAGCACCAGTGCCTCTGGTCTTGCACGGAGCATACTGAGCTTGCACCCTGGCGAATTGGAGGTGATACGTGAGGGACAAAATGCTCCACCCCGTCAAAGAACCAACTCTGACCACAGAAACCCATGGGGCACAAGTCTTCTGCGGCATGTTAGTCCCGGGCAGGACTTTACCCCAGCCTCCAGGGCTCACCCAAACCCCCAAATGCCCTCTCCCAGCAACACCCCCCCCCCCCCCCCGCTTTTCCTAGAAAAAGCAGGAAAGGGAAAGTGGCTAGTAAGCTGGAGGCCGGGACATGCAGCCCCTCATACTCCAAAATGAGTTATCTGCTCGTGGACAGAAGGGATGGGAAGATCAGGCCCCAAGCCCCTTCCAACCTCCGGTTTAGGGCCCGGTAGGGATTAGAAATCTTTCCTCTTGGAATCTTTGCTTTTTGCTCTGCTTCCTGCCTCTCCCACTTCACTCCCACCCGCACTCACTAGCAGCCTCCCAGCTGCACTCTCACCCTACTCTCTGGGTCCTCTGAGGCGCTTTGCGCGGCGTCCACTCTGGCTGGACTGGTGACAGGTATAGCCAACTCAGGGCTTGCCCCCTGCTGAGGAGGCAGGGCTCCTCTCATTTGCATAGCGACCGCCGCCTATATTTGCATGGTCTCTTCCCGAACCGACCCAGCTGCTAAACGACGACAACAGCTTGGCACCCTGCCCACGCTGCTATAAAAAGTGTTGGGTCCCGAGCGACATCCAAACGCAGAGCGAACCCGAAGAGCAGCGACAGTAACTGTGAGAAATAATTCCATTCTCCCACCTACCCGACTCCTCCCGGGCCAACCTAGAGCGCTTGAGGGCAGCTAGCGGCTGCGCTTCCTTAGGGGCAAGCCCAGGGGCTCAGACTTAATTAACCCAGTGGGTCGTGCCCTAGCACGCTAGGGGCGGGCTAAAGAGAAGTGGGAACCGGGCTTCGACTCCTTGGACGCTCTCTCCCGGCTCAAGCAGGCTCAACTCCTGGCTCCCGACTTACCCGCCAGCCAACCGGCAGCACTCGGCCGCGTTACAGCATGACTCTCTGGGATGGCGATCTGCCTTTCTACCACCAGTCCCGGCGTCCCGCCGGCTTCAGCGTCCCGCTGCTTATTGTTATTCTGGTGTTTTTGGCTTTGGCTGCCAGCTTCTTGCTCATCTTGCCAGGGATTCGTGGCCACTCGGTAAGGGGGTGCTAGAAGCTGGGGTCTGGGGATGGAGGACATCGTGGACAGCTTGTCTCTGGAGGACCCAGGACAGGTTAAGACTGCAGCAAGGACCCCCATTGAATAGTCAGAGGAGCATAGGTGGAGCAGACCCAGAAGTCTAGTGCAGCAAGCACACATTCCTCAGGACGGGGAGAGGTCTGGTTGAAGACATCCTAGAGACTGATCCAGCTGAATCATTCAGGAGGCTGCCGTAAAGAAGCCTGGTACCCACCTAGTCCAGTAATGCTGGGGCCCATTCTAATCTTCACTTGCTGTGGTGCCTCCTGACTTTCCCCATATTGCAACTCTATTTCCATCCACACTCTCATCCAGTCCTCCTTGTAATTACCTTTGGCCAAAAGGACGGAAACTAGCAGCTCAGATCGCTACATTTCACTTATGCGCTGGCTTGAGATGCTTATATATGGATGCCCCCACCTAAAGATTCTGACATTTCGGCACAGGATTCAAAGTTGTAGCAGACTGAGTACTTTCCCTCAGAATCCCCCCTCTCTCCAAGAAGCTAAGTTGTCTGTTTTTTCAAGTCAAGGAGGACCTACACTCCCTGAGTCTTGACCTGAGTCGGGTTTCTGGGAAACTGACGCACCTAGGAATATCTGAGAGGCTGTGTTCCCACCTCCTCTACTTGGCCACCAAACCCAGGGCCTCCTTCTCTTAGGGAAGGTGACCCCTGCATGCCTAGCACTTCTGGACTCAGTGAGCCTTACCATAGCAGTGACCCGAGCAGGAGGCGGAACCAAGACCTGGAACAAGATAGCTGGTGGGAGTGAAGGTTGTGGGAGAGCACCAGGCAGAGAGAGAGAGCCAGATTGCAAGGTAGACTGGGAAATGGGGTTGAGGAGGCACAAGTTTATGGTCAGAAAATATCAGAAATGCTAGTGGTTCAGAGGAACTTGCACAAAAAGTAAGCCTGAACACAGCCTCAGAATGCCAGGAATGTAACTGGGAAAAGGACACCGGGTGAGAAAGGGCAGTTGTAGAAGCACTAAATATCCAGGTGGCATGGGGTCAAGGGAGCTCCTGGGGACTCTGGTTGAAGAGTACCCAGGCCTGACCTGGAGCTTGTTCCTGCAGCGTTGGTTCTGGTTGGTGAGAGTTCTTCTCAGTCTGTTCATTGGCGCAGAAATCGTGGGTAAGTGTGTGGTGCATCAGATGGGGAGAGGACCTGGGGTGAGGAAGGAGGCTGGCAGAGGGCAGCTGAAAAAAATGGAGAACTGGGGTAGGTTTCCCTCTCCCTCTCCATTCTCCAGCTCTTTCCAGTGCCCACTCTTCTGTCCTTACCATGTATACCATATTGGACCCCTACACCTCCACCCACATCTCTTCACAGTGTCCCACCTTCCATCACCACTCTTCCAATTATATCTCCCCAATCGTTTCCCTACCCCCCCCCATCATGTGCCTCTCTTCACAGCTGTGCACTTCAGTGCAGAATGGTCAGTGGGCAGAGTGAACACCAACACATCCTACAAGGCCTTCAGTGCAGCCCGCGTTCGAGCCCTTGTGGGTCTGCACGTGGGCCTGGAGGGAATTAATATTACACTCACAGGTGAGGGGGCTGGGGCGAAGTGAACTTCTGGGATGAGCTGGCCGCATGGTGAGGGGTGTGGCAGAGGCAGCTACAGGACCTCTCAGGTCTCACAAGGTCATACAGCTTTTGGTCCTCATGAATTTGTATTGCCCCCAAATACTGCCAACCCCGTTTCTCTCGCGTCTTCGCTTTACTACCCCAAACCACTAGTTGCGGGGTTTCGGCTGTGCTCAGCCCCATGACCCCGCCGCGCTCCGCAGGGACCCCAGTGCAGCAGCTGAACGAGACTATCAACTACAACGAGCAGTTCAGCTGGCGTTTTGGCGAGAGCTATGTCGAGGAGTACACGGAGGCGCTGGAGAAGGGGCTGCCCGATCCAGTTCTCTACTTGGCGGAGAAGTTCACCCCGAGCAGCCCTTGCGGGCTCTACCGCCAGTACCGCATCGCCGGACACTACGCTTCAGCTACGCTGTGGTGAGCGCTGGGGGGGAAGACACTGTGTGTGTGTGGGTGGGTGTTTGTACCGGAGAATGTAAACTGCGGTTACAGCCCAATTCGCTCGGGTGAATATGACTGTCCCTCGGGTCAGAAGATCACGTAGTCCGCACAGAACTTGGGATCCCGAAGAGACTCAGCAACTGCTGGGATCAGGTCCACCCGTCGGGTATTTCCCTTGCACTTCCGCCACCCCACCCCGGGCTTTCGTTCTGGGGTAGGGAGGTAGAGGAAGCAAAGCAGCGGGAGCGGGCGAACTGGGAGAAGCCGGCTCACAGCGCGGCTGATGTCTCCGCAGGGTGGCGTTCTGCTTCTGGCTCCTTTCCAACGCGCTGCTGTCTATGCCGGTCCCGCTCTATGGAGGCCTGACGCTCCTGGCCACCGGCGCCTTTGCGCTCTTCTCTGTCTTGGCCTTCGCCTCAATTTCCAGTGTGCCACTCTGTCCCCTCCACCTCGGCTCCTCCCTGATCACCAGTCACTACGGTGCCGCCTTTTGGGTCACGCTGGCCACCGGTGAGGACAGAGGGATGGGCCTGGGGTGGCTGGGGATAAGAACGGGATTTATACCGGTGCGTGCTTTCCAGTTTACGAATCGAGTTCACCTATATTAGACTATTCTGCACCTCTCGATAGGTCGTAGAGGCAGGCACTGTTGTCCATCTTTACAGAAGGGTTTGGTATCTTGCCCAGTTAGCACGCGAGCCCCTGTATCATATCTAAATTAGAGCACGCGCGAGTGTAGAACATGTGAGGGTTGACTCCAGCAGACAAAGAGGGCAGGACGGGTTCTGACCCAGAGTCCTGACCGCCCTCTTTTCTTGCATCCGCACCGCCGCAGGCGTCCTGTGCCTCATTCTAGGAGCGGCGGTGGTGGGTCTCCACTACGCTCGGCCTAGCGCTCTTCGCACTTTCTTGGACGAAAGCGTCAAGAACTGCGGTAACCAGGCGGGAGGGGCCTCACCTCTCAACCTCAACAACCAGCAATTCGGGGCCTCGGAATTAACGAACAGTACTAGCCTGTGAAGCTCAACCTCAGACTTCTACGACCCAACCTCGGACTCCTACTCCGCCTCGGTACCCCACAGGCCGAGAGCAGCCTGTACACGCCCGACCTGGGCCTAGAGAACTCCGGGAGAGGTGTTGCGCTGCGGGAGCCCAAGGAAGGTGGGCAGCCTCAGACGTGCGCCGCGCGCGGTGCACCCTAGAGTCTCCCGTGGTGAGCTGTAAATAAAAATCCCCCCCTTTTTAACTTTTTTTCCATTAATTTCAATGGCTTCTCCAGGTTTTGGGGGGACACGCGCCTTTGGGAAACTTCGCTGGGCTGGAGACAGCCGTAGAACATTCTCTTTCTCTGCCTTGCCAAGAACCCTGATTCTCTTGATCTGGAGAATGCAGAATAACCCAGGTAGAGATCTGGGAGACGGACGCCCTCTAGTGAGCCCAGAGAGGAACCTACCAGAGCCAGCATCTTCCTGAGCCGCCCCAGGCGATGGTAGGGCACAGTGACCAGGCAGGCACCTCACCCTCCACTGACCCACCCACTGGTATCCTCCTCCGCTGGCCCAGCTAAGTGAGCTAGGAGGAAATGGAGTTTGAAGTTTATTCACTAACTTCAGTTTACTCACCAGGGAATGGTGTCTGAAGCCCAAGGTAGATATCAGCAAGGCATAAAAATGTAAATCCTGGGATTATTTTTTAGGTCTTTGGCAAGTCTTACAATTTTATTTGGCAAATTTGAGAACTGAAGCTCAAAGAGAAAGTGGCATAGTTAGTTAATATTAGACCCGGGGTGAGAAGTTTGGTTTCTTCTCCCTCCATTGCTCTCTTTCATTGTACCAAGAGGTCACACACGCTAGGAATGTAAAGGAAGAGCAAAGGGGACCCACGAGAAAGGAAAACAAGAGGTGCAGAGGGATGAGAGGGACCACAGAATCACACTGTAACTGCTCCCTGCTGCACATCATTGTGTGGATGAAGCTAGGTTTCAATAAATGGAACCCTGAACAGGCAAAGCATCGAAGAAAGGCAGGGTTGCTGTGTGGAGACATTTGGTCTTACCATGTGACAGAGTTTACGGGGAGCCCCAACATCTGTTCAGCACCTTAGGTTTTTGTTTGTTTGTTTTTGTCTTTGTTAATCCTCACCCGAGGAACTTTTCCCATTGATTTTTAGAGAGTGGAAGGAAGAGAGAGAGAGAACCATCAACATCTCTCACATCAACTGGTTGCCTCCCACACGACTCTCACTGGGGCCAGAGATCGAATCTGCAACCCAAGCATGTGCCCTTGACCCAGAATCGAATCTGAGACCCCTCAGTCCATGGAGCCAATGCTCTATCCACTGAGAAAACTGGCCAGGGCAGCACCTTAGGTTTTTAGTTTTGTTTTGTTAACACTGAGTCTTCTTTTTCTGCTCCACCTACAGACCAGAGTTGGAGGGCTGATACAATCCATTCTGTGGGCAGTCTGGTGGTTTTATAAGGCTCAAAAGAGGCCTGGAATCAGACTGGAAGTTTGGATGGCTACTAGGGAGAAGAAACTTATAGGGCAGGGTCAGGTACTTTGGAGTGCTCCTCCTGGGAGGAAGCCTCTGACAGAGAAATGTACTGGGGCTTAGGACTCTCGGCTGTGGACCGGTAGCGGGCGCTCAGGAGTCCCCCTTCTTCAGGATTCCACTCCAGTCCAGGGTTCTCCCCCACACTCTGAGTGAAGAAAGCCTTCAGTCTGTGGGGCTGCATCCTGTGGGCCACCACCATGGCCAGGCCCAGCAGCATACAAAGCAGTCCTGGGAATGAGGCGATAGTGATAGTTTAGTGATGGTGACACCCTCCCAAGGACATTTTCTTCTAAGAGCATCAGAACACTGTAAGGGAGGCCTGGCACCCCTGCTTCAACACAACTTGGGCTCAGAGAGGTGGTTGTGAGTTTTGAACTTGAAGCCCAATGCAATTTCATTTATATCCCCCAGGAGAGAGAATCTAAAAACAGAAAACCCCTGAGGGAAGGTTAGGGCACAAAGGAGGAGGCCTGGGAAAGGGCATGCGGCACAGACACCGTGGACAGGAGAGGACAATAAAACAGCAGGACACTTGAAGGCTATGTGAGGCATGGACAGAGAAGGGAGAAGGGTTCTAGGAATGGGGGACACAGAGAAGAGTGTTTGGGGAAAGTGGGTGGGGATATGAGATTCAAAGATTTGGGAAAGAGTTAAGGAAAGAGAGAGTTAGGGGATGAGGGACATGACAGAGAAAGAAAGAAGACACGGGAGTAGGCATACACAAAGAGCGAGGGGGGATGGAATTGGGGTGAGAAAACCTAGAGATGAGGGATATAAGAAGGATGGGGCTTTAAAGAATGGAAAGGCATTCTGGCCCTCGGACCCTCAACCCCATCAACGTGATGATCCCTGGTCCTGAGCTCTCCAGTGCCTGTCTTCAGGGCTGGACCTCACCTGTGGTCAGTGTGATCCAGAAGGCAGGCCCATGGTGAAAGTGCAGCATAGCAGTGCCCAGGTGCAGAGGACAGGGTGGGGTGAGTGGCGTGGCAATAGAGAAGAAGAGCAGTCCCAACAGCTGGAAGATGCCTGTGGCAAGCAGCATGTGGCAACCGTAGACCAGCACAGGTATGGACAGCATCACGTTGGCCAGCAGCCAGCAGAGGAATGCCACCCTGGAGAGCCAGGACCCTGTGAAGGCTGGCCCAGGCTCCTCTACCTGGAGGGCTCCAGGTGGAGGCTCAGGGACCCAAGGATACCCCAAAGATGTGAGGTAAGGATTTCTGCCTTGGGCTTCCCAACTGAGTACTGTGGTGACTGATGCCAGCCTGCCTCTTAGGGATCGCCAGGTAAGTGGAGGAGAGGTGGCTAAAAACTCTGTTCCTGGGTCTAGACTTATGGGGCCTCCATCCCACCCTCACCACAGAATGGCCGAGGTGTAGTGTCCTGCCAGGCGGTACTGGCCATGCAGGCCACAAGGGCTGTTTGGGGTGAACTTCTCGGCCAGGTAGAGGACGGGGTCTGGCAGTCCCTGCTCCAGTGCTCTTGCATACTCCTCAGCATAGTTCTCCTTTAGGCGCCAGGTGAACTCCTCATTGTAATTGATGGTCTCATTCAGCTGTTGCACTGGGGTCCCTGGGACATGGGGTAGCTGTGCTCAGCAGGGACCCAAAGGCCAGAGGGGGGCATTTGCCTGGGTAAGGGGCTCACCACAATGGGTCGAGGGACAGGAGCTTGTCTCAGTGAACAGAAGGTGGTTTCCAAGGTCTGGGAATTCCCCCTCCTACCATCCCCCTATCCAGTAGCTCTTTGGACTGCAACAAACTAGACACAGAGCAGAGCTTTTCCCTCCCTTACTGGTAAGAGCCTTCCTCACCTGTGAGTGTGATGTTGACTCCTCTCAGCCCAACCTGGAGCCCAACGTCAGCACTGATCCACTGGGAACTGAAGGCCTTGTATGATGTGTTGGTGCTGACCTGGCCCACAGACCACTCAGAACTGAAATTCACAGCTGGGGTTGGGGAGTTGGACATTCAGGAACTCGGAGAGTTCTGTGCATTGCTGAGCTAGAGTCAGTGGGAGAGCTACAAGGGGACCATGTCTGTTTTGCTTATAATTGTATATCCTGTATATCCATTAACTAACCTAGGATCTGGCTCATGGTTGGTTTGCCAACAATGTGTGAGATGAATAAATGGGTCAGAATCCTAATTTCCCTTGGTCATACTCCTCTTACACCTTCCTTCCCTTCCTCTCCCCATTTAGGAAGAGCTACTCAAACAGCTCGGGGAGGAAAACAATGTAATAAACCATGCTGGGCAAACACAGCTTCAACTTAGAGACTTTTCACTTCTGCATTTGCCTGGTTCTCAAAGCAAAGCAAGCAGCCCTCCCCATTTCCTCCCTCCAGACTCCAAAGGCCCTCTCCCCACAGACATTCATTTTTACCTGCTTTCCTCTGAATAAAAATATTAGGAAGGTTGGAGAGACGCATCTAGGATGGTTTCCCAGGGCCCGCACCCCTCTGGGCAAGGGTAAAAGTAGGGGATATGGCCATAATGAGGGAGGCATGTGGACAGGGTCTGGAAGACCACCCTGAAGCAGAAGCTGCTATGGGGAAACAAGGAGAGGCCAGACTGGCTGCTGAGAGAGTCAGATGGGACGGAGGCACTGCCTGGAACAGCTGTGCTTCACACTCACCCAGGATCACGGCTCCGATGAATAAGCTGGTCACCACCCGAAACAGCCAGAACAGCCTCTGAGCCATAACAGGTTGGGTGGGTTTAGGAAGGAGCACCCTTCTTCCAAATCCACCCTTCCTCTTTCCAGGTTTGGGGTTACTCAGTCAATTGAGATCAGAGTGCCTGGCACATGATAGGTAATCAATAATCATCTGTTGAATCAATGAGTGGAGGAGTTCTCTGCTGGGGGGTAGGGTGTTGCTTTCTCAGGACTGGAGCCTCTTTTCTGAGTCTGGTTGTAGTAAGAGAGTATGGCCCCCTCACCCTGAGGCCAAGGTCTCTCTGGGGTTGGGGTCTCCAGGGCTGGGTTTGTTTCTTACCATTTTACCCCGAATGCCAGGCAGGATGATGATGAATGTGATGAGTGCAGTCAGAAAGATTGTAACGATGATGGCCAAGGTGGTGTCCATTGGGAAGGTTGGTTTGGGGCCAGCATAGAAGGGGAATGTGTGTCCAAAAGCAGCCATTTTGGTGGGTTTGTGCAGGGGAGGCAGATGCTGTACAACAGGAACAGATGTTTACTGATGCCCTGTATACCAGGCACAGCTCCTGGTGCTGGAGATACAGCCAAGAATAAACCAGATGAGGGCCCTTTTCTCTGGAGCCCACCAGACTTCCCTGTTACTGTCATTCCACTGCCCCTCAGCCATCCATCTCCCTGTGAGAGAATGAGGGTTTTGGTAATCAGTTTCTGTGGCCCCATGCTCCCTTCCTAACTTCCAGGTCCCCTAAATCAGTGCCACCACTACCCTGGAGGCTTCTCTGCTTCCTTCAGGACAGTCTTAAAAACGTAATTTTATTTATTTATTTATTTATTTATTTATTTATTTATTTATTTATATCTCCCTCAAGCCTCCAGCTTAAGCAGACAGATTGCAGAACATAAAAAGAGCTATATTTACTATCAAGTGAAAGTATAAGGGTGAAAGATAGTACAGAT